CTGAGACACTGGGGGTAGAGGCGACAGAGACACTGAGGGTACAGCGAACTGAGACACGCAGAGAGTACAGGCTACTGAGACACTGTGAGTACAGGTTACTGAGACACTGGTGGTACAGGCGACTGAGACACTGGGGGTACAGGCTACTGAGACACTGGGGGTACAGGCTACTGAGACACTGGGGGTACAGGCTACTGAGACACTGGGGGTACAGGCTACTGAGACACTGTGGGTACAGGTTACTGAGACACTGTGGGTACAGGTTACTGAGACACTGGGGGTACAGGCTACTGAGACACAGGGGGTACAGGCTACTGAGACACAGGGGGTACAGGCTACTGAGACACGCAGAGAGTACAGGCTACTGAGACACTGAGGGTACAGGCTACTGAGACACTGGGGGTACAGGCGACTGAGACACTGAGGGTACAGGCTACTGAGACACTGGGGGTACAGGCTACTGAGACACTGTGAGTACAGGTTACTGAGACACTGGGGGTACAGGCTACTGAGACACTGGGGGTACAGGCAGATGAGACACTGGGGGTACAGGCGTCTGAGACACTGGGGGTACAGGCGACAGAGACACGCAGAGAGTACAGGCGACTGAGACACTGTGGGTACAGGCGACTGAGACACTGAGGGTACAGGTTAATGAGACACTGGGGGTACAGGTTACTGAGACACTGGGGGTACAGGCTACTGAGACACTGAGGGTACAGGCTACTGAGACACTGGGGGTGCAGGCTACTGAGACACTGGGGGTACAGGCTACTGAGACACTGGGGGTACAGGCTACTGAGACACTGGGGGTACAAGTTACTGAGACACTGGGGGTACAGGCTACTGAGACACTGGGGGTACAGGTTACTGAGACACTGGGGGTACAGGCTACTGAGACACTGGTGGTACAGGCTACTGAGACACTGGGGGTACAGGTTACTGAGACACTGGGGGTACAGGCTACTGAGACACTGGGGGTACAGGCTACTGAGACACTGAGGGTACAGGCTACTGAGACACTGGGGGTACAGGCTACTGAGACACTGGGGGTACAGGTTACTGAGACACTGGGGGTACAGGCTACTGAGACACTGGGGGTACAGGCTACTGAGACACTGGGGGTACAGGCTACTGAGACACTGGGGGTACAGGCTACTGAGACACTGGGGGTACAGGCTACTGAGACACTGGGGGTACAGGCGACTGAGACACTGGGGGTACAGGCAGATGAGACACTGGGGGTACAGGCGACTGAGACACTGGGGGTACAGGCGACTGAGACACTGGGGGTACAGGCTACTGAGACACTGGGGGTACAGGCTACTGAGATACTGGGGGTACAGGCTACTGAGACACGCAGAGAGTACAGGCTACTGAGACACTGGGGGTACAGGCGACTGGGACACTGGGGGTACAGGCGACGGAGACACTGGGGGTACAGGCTACTGAGACACTGGGGGTACAGGGTACTGAGACACAGGGGGTACAGGCGACAGAGACACAGGGGGTACAGGCGACTGAGACACTGGGGGTACAGGCTACTGAGACACGGTGGGTACAGGCTACTGAGACACTGGGGGTACAGGTTACTGAGACACTGGGGGTACAGGCGACTGAGACACTGCGGGTACAGGTTACTGAGACACTGGGGGTACAGGCTACTGAGACACTGGGGGTACAGGCTACTGAGACACTGGGGGTACAGGCGACTGAGACACTGGGGGTACAGGCTACTGAGACACTGGAGGTACAGGTTACTGAGACACTGGGGGTACAGGCTACTGAGACACAGGGGGTACAGGCTACTGAGACACTGGGGGTACAGGTTACTGAGACACTGGGGGTACAGGCGACTGAGACACTGGGGGTACAGGCGACTGAGACACTGGGGGTACAGGCTACTGAGACACTGGGGGTACAGGCTACTGAGACACTGGGGGTACAGGCTACTGAGACACTGGAGGTACAGGTTACTGAGACACTGGGGGTACAGGCTACTGAGACACTGGGGGTACAGGCTACTGAGACACTGGGGGTACAGGCTACTGAGACACTGGTGGTACAGGCTACTGAGACACTGGGGGTACAGGTTACTGAGACACTGGGGGTACAGGCGACTGAGACACTGGGTGTACAGGTTACTGAGACACTGGGGGTACAGGCGACAGAGACACTGGGGGTACAGGCTACTGAGACACGGGGGGTACAGGCTACTGAGACACTGGGGGTACAGGTTACTGAGACACTGGGGGTACAGGCGACTGAGACACTGGGGGTACAGGCTACTGAGACACTGGTG